TCCATGTTTGCCTTCAAGTATATATAATCTCATACTGTGTCTATGTATCAATGGTAACAATGAGGCAGCTAGGTGATGCTGTAGATAGAGTACTGAAGTGGGAGTTAGGAAGATCTGAGTTTGAATCCTACCTCAGACCCTCATTAGTGATGTGACCCTCAGCAATTTGTTTAATCTTTCTGGGTCTCAGTTCTCTTACATATCAAATGAAGGATTTGGACTCAATTTCCTTGGAAGTTCCTTTCATCTCTAAATCTATGAAACCTACGATCTTGGACATCTTCCTACCTTAGACTCTCTGCCAGTAAAGGGAAGGGAATTCCTCTACTACAACAACCACTAAATTTCTCATGAGTTGATCCACTTCAGATCCTAAAGAGGGACTCATAATCTTGGTAGTCTAAAAAATAGACTGCCCATAGTCCAAATCAATTTAAGGATCAGATGTCTTTGGTTCTTAGATGAACTACTTGATCATATTGAAAAGAAGGTAACTCTAGGTCAAGGACACATTTCAAAAATAGGAGGGCAAATACACATACACACATTTACCAAGGCAGAGATGACATTTACTACCATCTTTTAATTCAGTATTTCAATGATTCTTGATTTCATTGGTTCTCTTTATAGACCATGTCACATTTAGTAAATGGTTTTGATGAATTACTATGGCCAAAAAATTCATCACCTAGTACCCAATTTTCCAGTAATGAACCTTTCAGAACTTAACTAGGCTAATCGTCTGCCAATGATGGTGAGACAATTCATTGAAACTTTTCCAGCACAGAAGAACCTATCAGAGAATGTATTTTGAAGACATAGTCATTAATAACCCAAGTTCATCTCTATACTGCAATAAGGCCCAAGTCTTTGGGACTCAATTTCCCTATCTGTAAAATGACTGGATAGACAATTTATATGGTTCTCTTCAACTCTAAATCTACGATCCCATGATTAGAATGAGGGAATGATTAAACACAGAATCTTGTCTTGGGACAACTATTAATTATACATTTCTTCTGACTATTGGCTAGAAGGAAGCCTATAGGGTTCATATACTCCCTCCAGATGGAAAGAAGCATCTAAAGAATAGATACATTTTTTACAATTAGATAAGGAACTCAGGACCCTTCATTTGGAATCAGGTAAAACTCTGAGGCATGTGGCATTATTCCGTGAAAGACAGGTATATTCTTGATTTCACTGCACAGCTAGCAAAAGAGACCCTATGTCATTCTCCCTATCAGTGATGCCCTTTAGCATGAAACATGAAAAGAAGATCTATGTAATTGTGCCAAATCAGCAAGAAAAAGAATTAACTCTGTAGTTACAGTATACTGACTCACACAATGTTAGAACCAAGAGACCTTGGAAAGTATCTAGACTAACCCCTTCCATATAGAAATGAGGAAACTAAGGCCCCCAAGAGGTGGAAAAAAATTACTTTTTATAGGCTCACTCTCTAGCCTTGAGCTAGGTTACAGAATAAATTCACCAGAAATAAATACATGCTTAGATTCATTACAATTTTCTGAGCTTCTTTGTGAAGATGTTTGGAAGAAAACTGCCTCCCTATTTCTTCTCCTGTTTAAATTTGGACATCTGAATGGTTGCCTGAAACATCTTTTAAAATATACCTTCTGTTGCATTAAGGAGAGTTGCCTACATTTAATTATTGCAGGAAGTTATTGGGTGTGGCTTACTGATAGGAAATTTAGGAAGCATCCAATTCACCACTGGAAGGAATCTCCTGGAACCAAGGGATAAGAACATTATTTCTAATCTGTTCAAACCTTGCAAAAGAGAAACCAGTAAAATGAGGATTCTAAACCACATCCATACTCCCTGCTCAAGGAGGTCCCAGCACACAATATGGCTCTTTTCACTTTGGCTAAAGCTAAATGCTTTTTTTTTTAAACAAAAGGAAACACCCACATCTCTTGTGCCTTGCCTGCTTCTCTACGTACTAACACACCTTGCAAGTTTTTCAGTGTCTTCCATGTGCACTGTAATTAAGCTATATCAAATGAGGCCCAAGACATTTTAATATCCTACAGCAATAAAATGTCAGCTATTCATTAATTTTTCCTCCTTCTCCTCCTACTCCTTCACTCCATCCCTTCTCCATTCTCCACATCCTTCTCCACTTTTTTTTCTCTTCCTAGGCTCCTGACACAGCAAGACCTAGCAAAAGCTATTTGCTGAAATAGTTCATTAATGCTGGCTTCCCACCTATTTGCAGTAAACTGCAACTTGGAAATATATGGTGGCTTTTTTTTCTGCTTCTCATGCGGAAGAGGAAGGAAGCGCAAAACCCTCCTCCACCCCTCCCACACTGCTCTGTTGGATTTCATGGGTGTGGCAGAGTTGAGACCTTAGCTGGATCTTGCTGGCTTTTTTTCCCCCTACCAATGGCAAAGATGATGAAAAGATGGCTGGGAAAAGATAGAAGCCATCAGCTTCTGCCCTTGACATTCTAGGACCACATCACCCACAAATGGGAAGCCTGCTTTCCACTTTTTGAATCACTCATATAATACAAATGCCACTCAGTGTCCCAGTGAGCCCACACCCTTATTACAGTAGGTCCATCTGTTCTGTGTGATAGTCTACTGAGAGCTAACTGCATGTACATTGAATACTCCCAGGACTGGTACACATTCCCTATGAAGATTTTTCAGACCCAATTGCATATATTTGCAAGGCATGTACATATGTGCGGCTATATAGATATATGATATGTCATATCTTATATATGTGTGTGTGTACACTTTTCTCCCATTTCTGCTGTTTCTGCTTGTGTTTAAACACATGTAGCCATAAAGAAACTGATTGTATATGGATGGGTATACGGGAACATAAGTATATGTGCGCATATACATACGTGTACTCTCCCAAGTCTGTAAGTGTAGCGTCATCAGTTTGTACATCAGAGAAGCCATATATGAGGCTGTCAGTGAGGAAGGATTTGACTAATGGCAGCTGGCCTCATTTTAGGAGGGTGATCCCTTAGTTCTAATTCTCCTTTTTAAAAATCATGCTTAGTTTCCTTTGTCAAAAAGTGTGTGTGTGTGTGTGTATGAATAGGGTGGGAATCAATCTCTTAAACTGGTGTTGCTTCCTTTCTAAAATTAAAGCTTCTTTAAGGAAAAGCATTGGCTTCCCAAACAGGGCTCCTCCTTCCTAAATTTTATTTCACTAGAGAGGCAACCTTAGTTCATCTCTCTGACAATGTGCATAACCCGGCCACCTGTGTCTTCTTGATTGATATATTAAAATGGAAACAGGATAGGAGCATCCTGACTTAAAGCATGTGCATCTGAAGCAGAAATTGCCTGAACCACGGACCAGACCCCTGTAAGTGCTGCAGGAAGGGCCACACCCCCACTGCTCTTCCCTGAATATACCGGGCCCTACAAAACCCCAAAATCTGCTACTTTTTTTTTTTAGAGAATCTTCTCTGCCTCTCTCCTCCCACTGCTCAGTCATTCTGCTTGTCTGCCTTCCTCTTCCTCTTCCGTCTTCATAAACCTCTGCCTCCACCCCTCATCCCACATTGCTGGCTGAAGGTGCTCTTCGCTAGCTGTCTGCACCAAGCCCACTCCCCTCCACCCCACCCTGTTTGGATTTTTAGTGAGTGGATTACAAATTGCCAAGTATCCAATACCTGCACAGGAAGAATGCCCAAATCCTCTTTCCAACCCCCACCCTGTGGGCATGGTTCTACATGGATTTCTTTGCCCAGGGCTTCGTGTGTGTGTGTGTGTGCGCGCGCACACACACACACACACACACACCCTGCATACATTTTCTCCTCAATCTTCCTAAAAGATCTACACTATGTGCCCCATCGATTGTTCGAATCCTAGTTTCAGATAGCTGGTAACTGCGGAATTCCGTAAACTGTCCTTTTCTTTATTTCCTATGTCAAGTTTCTAAAATGCCTTTCAAGATGTAAGAGAGCAATATGAAATGGAGGGAGAAAAAAGTGGGGGTGGGGTCGAAGGAGGGAGCCTGGGGGCTGGAAATATGGTATTTGTCCCTCTTCCGGATGAAAATGAGTCACCTGCTTATTATCTTTAGCCTGGGGTGTCTCTGGCCACTGGAAGCCCCATAAGGACCCAAAGGGAACCAGTTATTTTTTTTTAAAGAAGAAAGAAAAAGAGGAAAGAGGAAAGAAAAAAAAAAAACTGGTTTCCAACAGGTAACACCCGGCTAGTCTTTCCCATCCCATCGGAGCTCAAAGCTCCTAGGGGCGTGGTCCACCCTCTCCTCAGACCAGCTGGTGCACAGTTGTCTAACTGCTCTTACTATGAAGGAGACCATGAAGAGGGCTTCCCAACCCCCCTTCACGTCCAATTGCTTTTTCTGTGAATTAATTATTTCCTTTAATAAAAAATATTTTAGTCACCCACAAGAACAGTTTTTTTCTTCAAAGAGAAAAAAAACAAAACCCTTCACACGTTTTTGTTTTTTGAAGTACACCTGCCCCCCATTCCAAGGCACATACATGCATGTAGGAAATAGAGCATCTCTGGCTGCACATAAAAAAGAATTGCATGACAGAACAGGCACATTTAACACTAAAAATCACCCCCACACGCACCCTATCATTCTGCACATAAGATAAAGAATATTCTATTTCTCAGGCCACCTCTTCTCTCTCCCGACCACGACCACATCATACCTTTCTACACGCACACCCTCAAAATCAGAGACATAAAACCCTGAGCATTTGTCAGTAGCCCAAAGAATCCTTGTTTCTCTCCAGCCAAGCACATTTTCAAGCTTTTTCCCGATCGGTGACCATACGCTAAACCCAAACCGTAAAGAAAACGTGAATAAAGGCAGGGAAGTAACATTCAGTTACCAGATGTTAAGGAAATGCAAGCATCATGTCCAGACTAGAAGCAGTTAAAAGATTTTTTTCTCCCCTCACATCCAATAGTCTGGGAATTTCTTACCAGTAAGCAGGAAAAAAAAAAAATCTTTAGCTCTACCTGTTTTGTTCTTCTCATACAGCACAGCATGATTGTATTGTCCCTTCCCCTCTTCTTCTTCCTTCCTTCCTTTCCTGCTCTCTCTTTCTTATTTTACCCCCTCTCCACCTCTTTTCTGCTTCCCCTCTCTCTCTCTCACACACACACACCAGGGCAGTTAGCAGCAACTGTAAGGTCCTCAGCTATTGCTCATCACATAGGCGCTCTCTCTCTCTCTCTCTCTCTCTCTCTCTCTCTCTCTC